TTTTTTGGTCACATACGCGTACTTTCTCGTGGAGTTGTAAGTGGCAGTAGCCATTTAGGACAGTACAGTGCATTGAGAACCCAGTAGCTATGGGCTATGCAATACGTATTTAGGAGCTTTGAAGCTCTCAAAACTTTTTCGAATACGCAGTTGAAGCTCATTATTTACTAGACAGGCCCTTCAGAGGTCCAGTAATGGTATCCGTCGAAGTAACCGTGCGTGTGCTTTTAAAAGCTCCCGTAGAAGTGTTAGTGCTAGTTGAACTAGTAGTTCCGGTCTTCATTGAGCTTCCCCCGTACGCATGCTGTCCTCCACCGAAGTCCACGTGTCCGAGCTAGTCGTCGGGCTGGGGTGGGAGACGGTGGGCCTCTCCACTTTCAGCAATTTGTTATTGCCCTTATGCGAAGCAGATCACGCTTTTTAGTAATGGCAGCCGCCGCGAACACATTGTAAAGCATCAACACCGACATCAGTGACTCATCGGAGGCGGTGTGTACAGAAAATGAGTGGTGAATTGGGGACCTAAATTAACGCAGCTTAGCTAGGTGTAGGATAATGCGTCCTACAAAAGTCCTAAACTGTCATATGGGCATTAATTCGCAGTTCTGTGATTTAATCCTGTCGTACAGACTGACTTATATTACGTCCTCAAACCTGTACGAAACCTGTTGTGCGTAATATTATGTATGCTACATCAAACTTTAGAGCACACCACAGCCACCCAACTAAAACAAGCTGCTGAGGACGACCATTTCACTCGAACGATGGAGCACGGAGGGTATTCGCTCTGGGTAAAGCGCACATGTACTGAAATGAGCACTATCTACTACAGTTGCAAGAAATTTTGACAAGGATGCAAAGTCCTTGTGAGAGAGGAGGCTATAGTGGCCGACAAGAGCATGCACACTTGCGAAGTGCGTCGGCCTGAGATGGTTACAGATGTGCACCAGGAGATGACGCTGCAGCTCCAACACCGCAGCGTTGTCGTTTCGTCATTGTAGTGAACTGAGGAAAGTCTAACGCTAGATGGCGGGGCCAAAGGAGCCTCCGGGATCTGGGTGCTGATGCGGGATGAAGAGACGGTAGATTGGAAAGTGAAGTCTGCCCTACCCCTCTCTTGCTCGCTCCAGCACCTCTTTGATCATACATGTATTATATCTAGATACAGCTTCAAACTCTTATCACTTACTATTATTGGCCATTAATAGCGAGCATCAGAGCCAGGGTATCTCCGACACTTCCCTTGCTCGCAGCATGCTCTACACGGCGAGCACGAACATCGTACTGCCGGAGCAATTGGAAGCGGGCGAACATCGACTCGATGCGAGCATCGCGATTACCTCAGCGTGACCATCACGCTACCGTCGGTGCCTAACATGACTTTCATAAATCATTCGAATTCGACCAAAGTACCGTACTCAAAAATCGATACTTTCTTAACTTCTGTCAGCCTTTGCAAAACTGACAACCATCCAACATGCACTGGTGGTGTATTCGGAGAGACCAGACCACTTGACATCTTCACTTCGTTGATTACGACGAACAACCCCTAGCATCAGACGGAATTGCTCGAACTTTAACCTTGCTAGTGGCTTAGTGAAAATATCAGCTGTCATCTCGGTGGTGTGGCAATGTCGAACCGCGATTAGCTCACGATCACCGAAATTGAGAATATAGTGAAACCGATTCTCAATGTGCTTGCTCACATTGTGTTTACTCGGCTTCCCGGACAGTGCGATAGCTGCCGTGTTGTCGCACCACAAGGTTGGCGTTGTATACTTCCACTTGAGCTCATCGCACAGACCTCGCAGCTACATCATTTCTCTCGAGCTCCCTCATTCACGGCGACGTACTCGGCCTCCATAGTACTTTGCGCGTTCA